TTAATGACTGTTACTAGAATAAAGCCTGCTAGGAAGCTAGCATTTATTAAGTAGTAATAGATATTCTTTTGTTTTCATTTTAGCAAATATTTTGATAACCCAGGCACATAAACTAGTATGTCACTTAATTTTTTAAAGTCATTCACAGTTTTAAAAAATATCAAACAATTCTTTCCCTCATTCCAGATTGAAATTTTACTGCACTGTCAAAATACCTCACTGAATGCAGCCACATTAGAAAATCACAGGAAGTGGAAAGGTCCAGGTGTCATAACCCTACAGTCTCAGCAATGTGGGAAGCTGAAGCAGGATACCATAAACTGAAGACCAGCTTAGACAATTTAGCAAGTCCATCTCAAAATCAAATTTTTAAGGGGGCTAAGATGTAGCTCAGTGGTGAGACACCTCCCTAGGCCCTTGATTCCATTTCCATGATCTCAAAAAAAAACAGTGAAAAAGGAATTAAGACTGTAAATCACTACCAACTGTGACCTCCTAAAGTCCTGAATACAATGAGTAAGATTATCTGGTTGCAATTCATCCTATGAATAATAGATTTCTTTTACCTGTCCAATTTTAACTTTAAAATTGTTGAAATGATAGACCTTAATCGAAAACAGCCATAAAACAGAGAATACCGGCTACATTTACCAATTGTAAAATACCCAGTTTAAATGCACTGGTCACATAAAACAGGTGCCAAAATAAAACAATAACACAGCTGAGAGTACTTGGTAACACAAGAATGGCAAACTTGGCTGCCAGGTATGATGTACATGCTTATAATCCCAGCAGTTAGGAAGCTGAGGCAGGAGGATCACCGTGAGTTCTAGTCCAGCCTGGGTTACATGGTGAGTTCAAGGACAGTGTGGACTACATAGCAAGACCCTGTCTCCAAAAAAAAGGAACAGCAAACTTAACACAAATGTCATTTTTCATTCTATCCAATCCTTCAGTGAAAAATTTAAAAGTTTTAAAATAAGGCAGTAATGTTCACAATTCCCACAAACAAATAATTTAGCCTAAAACTAGTCTTTCAATTAACTAAAAGTAATGTAACATGAAGGCAATTTTTTTTCACATTCGAGAGATTGAATCCAGGGCCTCATGCGTGCTAGGCAAACAATCTACCAGAGAGCTACATTCCTGGCATTGTAAAGACAATTTTTTATTGATGACCACAGTTTAAATTATTGGAGTGTCCATTCATAAAGTAGTCTGTAAAGAGAACCAGAAAGCTAACTACAAACTAACAAGTTAGGACATGTCTTCTTTGCTTCAATAATAAACCGCATCTAAATCTAAATGTGACTTCAGTCATATACTCTGAATGAGCATCACTCAGGCTACAGTAGGAGGATATTCAAAGGAAAAGAAAAAGTGGACAAATTAGCTCTGAATCTAGTAATATTAACAATGAGACACTGGCTTCATTTAAAGATTTTGCCACATGGGAGCTAAAAGGTATGTGACTACCCTGGAATTCAGCGTCCAGGATAGATACCACTTACTGGGCGTTATCAGTTATTTTCTAAGTTAACCAAGCAACTGCAGTTAACATGCTCCACTTCATAATTTGTTCCTCCGTTAGTCAGCCTCATCCTCAAATGTAGAATGTGTTTAGTAAACATAGTACTTGAACCATTTGATCTAACAGCTCTAAGCTATACATTATCACCTTATCACAAATGGAAAAACCAAGCCAAGGGGATAGATCCAAGCCATCCCACATAGCGTCCTTGTTTAACACCTAGCCCTAAGTCATGAAACTAGTGACTATCAAATTCTGACTTTAAATTGCTCCTTTCAATTATACTATGTCATCTACATAGCACTGATTACTAACTCAATAGCTGTTCTTTTGGAATTATTTCCTGGCATTTTTGCTTTTCAATTAAAAACCCTCAAGAGCTACTACCTCTTTAATATTCTGCAATACACATCTGATCTGATGGCTATAATTCCCACATTCATTCATTTCCCAGAATCTGAGATTTCTGACTTGGGAACTCTGTACTGAGATCCTTGTTCCAAAGGTACTCGGGAAAACAGGTGTCCAGTCAAGGTATTGGTTCAAAGTAGCCACGTGACTTAAGCTAACCCAATCAGACTGAACCACAGAATTGCTGAAAATGTCAGACCAAGGACATAACCTTAAGGTAGTAATGTGACTGCAGGAGCTAGGGGCAACCATCTTTGAGTAAGGGAAAGCTAACCAGTATCACTAGGATGCTAGACTAAAAGTCTCACTTTAAACTACTTCATGTACTTGGTCTTTTAGCTACAAGAAGCTGAAATCTGTCTTGAATGATCTTTACGCAGGCATAAGCAACCCTGTGAAATCTGCATTTAAACACCAGTTTGAGTCAGCTTTTGGGTTACTTCAAACACTACAAAGTGACAGATTTCTGTTAGGATGTTTCTCATTTCATCGTAATTTACTTATGATTCCCCTAGTCACAGAATGTTCTCTCCTGTTAACACTTCTCAACTACTGGACACATACCATGTACTAGGCATTATGTGAGATATTATCCCTTAATATTGAAAACAAATCTATATTCAAAATGTACACAAGAAATTTTATCTTCAACATTTCGTATGTGAGAAAATGAACTCAATTACTAAGTGGCATTCTTAATACCACAGAGCTAATACTCTGAATAGCCACAATTCAAAAGCAGGTTTCTATAGCTCATAAGTAGTTAGTCTTTTTAACTATGCAAGGCCAAGATTTGTCTTGAGTGGTCTTTATTCAGGCATCAACTCCTCTGGGAAGCCTTCTAGAATTTATTTCTGTATTTCAGGACTTGCACACTCACCGAAAGGACTATCACAAAGTACTATTAACCATATGTCTTGATACTTACAATACCAACTCCATAGTATAGTAGGATTCAGGTGACTACACAGTCTCCCACAGTGTACGACACAGATGAAGTGAGCAGTATTTATGAAATGAAGAGTGAACAGATAAATTTAAGTCCTATCCTCTACAAATTAAATTCCTCTGCAATAAACAATAAAAAATTCTTATTATACCAAAATATCCTTTTGTATAGAATGCTTCTAAAGCATAGGATGTAGGGTGAAATCTGAAAATAGTTCCCTTATATTACGTATTTGCCCCAAATATGTATACTTATAAAGAGCTACAAAGAATCAGAAATCTGGTTGGAGGCACACCTGTAATCCCAGCACTCAGGAGGCTGAGTCAGGAGGATCACCAGGAGTTTGAGGCAAGTGTGGGCTACAAATGCAAGTTCAAGGCCTGCCTGAACTACACAGTGAGACCCTGTCTCAAAAAAGAAAGAAATCAATCAATCAATCAATCAATCAATCAATCTGCTTTGGGGGTGTGTGGCTTAATTACCATTAAATGCTTTTGTAGCATGAGAAAGGCCCTGGGTTCAATTAAAGCACCACCTCAAAAAGAAAAATCAATGGCAGAAACCTGTAACGTATATATGTATAAACATATATAAATATAAACAGATTTTTATATAAACATATAAACATAAAAACATATATATATTACTTTAAATGCCTCAAAGACTTGTTTAGTACAGTAACAGCTGGGATATGCTTTTTTTTTTTCTTTTTCCTTTTTTTGAGGTACCAGGGATTGAACTCAGGACCTCACACTTGCCAGGCAGGCGCTTATGCAACTGAGCTAAATCCCTGGCCCCGGGATATGCTTTTTAAGCACATACTAAGGGCCCAACACTAAAAAACTGGCCCATTAGTTTAATTTTAGAATCAAACTTGTGCAACACAGGTCCCTTTACTTTCTCGCTTTACCTCACTTATAAATGGAAAACAGCGCAGACTATCTCCTAGGTACCGTCTACCTCTGACTACTTCTCTGAGTGTTTCTTTTACTACACAACCTAAAAGTGATCTCCGAGACATGCCTATCATACCACTTTAATGTTCAGCACCCTGCTTACCCCTGACATTTCTCCTGTATTTACGTATGAATTACCATTTCTTCCACAAAATGTAAGTATGTGTTCAGCAGCACACTTCAAAGGGTCACATACAACCTACTGGGTACCCCAAAAATTGTCTACTTCTCATGGAAAACTAATAATGAATCGTTGCCCAAATTACAAGACCAAAAAAAAGTAAACTAGTAGTAGACCATTGGTCATGTCCTACATTTTTCAACCTTTAAGAAACTCATTTTTCTATTCATTATGTACTTTAAGTTATTACTCTTACAAGGATTTTGAGAATGAAAGTATTCAGTAACTACCACTTAAGTAACTTAACTTGAATCCACGATAATTAGTATATAAATGCATCATATCAGCAGTCCCAAAATCCTCCACAAAAGTTTCCAAACGAAATGTCACAAAAACAACAAATCTTATCAAAATAAAGGTTAACGAAGCAAATAAGAACAAATACAAACCATCTGAGTAATCCAAGCTGATAATCTCCATTTTTTTAAAACCAACGCTGTGGTCTCAACGGCTCCGTTTCTGCGGAGGGCCAGGGCTCCTGGGTATCGACCCACAATTCTCACAGATACCGCCATGCAACTCCTGGCCTACGCTTTACTTCCATTCTCTGCCCCGAGGACCCCTGACTCTGCCCTGGGAAGCTCGGTGCTGCCTGCCTCTGTCTCCCCCTCCTGCAACGAATCCTCCCAACTCTTCCCCCGGGATCCCCATCTGTGTCATCAGCTCGGCTCCGGGTGCGGCGGTGCTGAGCACTGCGACCGCACCGCCCTCTCCACCTTCTTCGCCCTGGCGGCCGGCAGGTGCCCGGTTCGGATCCGCGTCCGCCGAGGAGGGGCGCACAAAGGACCCGCGCGGGCCCTGCCCCGGCCCCTCACGGTTCCCCCGCTACCCGGCCCGCCGCGGCCCGGCCCGGCCCGACCCAACCCGGCCTCGACCGACCCAAGACCTAGCCGAGACCGCGTCGCACGGCCGCCCCTCCCCGCCCAGCTCCGGTCCCGGCCCCGGCCCCGGCCCCGCGGGCCCCGCACTCACAGGCTGCCGGAGCAGGACGTACACACGAACGAGCCGATCGTCATGTTAACGTAGGTGGGGCCGCGCTGGTCGCAGTCGAAGCACTTGCGGTTGTGCGGGAGGCCGGTCATGTCCCGCAGCATCTTCAGGTGCTTCTCCTCCTGCTTCCGCTTCGCGCTGGCCGCCATGGCCGCGGCGCCGAGGGCGGAGGCGGCAGCGCCGGGAGCCGGGCGGGCTGCGCCGGGTCCCGCGGTCCCACAGGCCACCCCGGCCGCGGCCGCCGCCCTCCGTCAGCGCGCGCCGCCCGTGCCCGGCCCGGCCTCTGCGACGCGGCTCGGCTCGGCTCGACTCGACTGGGCTCGACGCGGCGCGGACGCGGCGGGAAGCGCGCTGACGACCACACCAACCGACCGCGGGACAACCGCCGCCGCCGCCGCCACCTTCCCGACTCCTCCTGAGGGAAAAGACGAGAAAGGGGACGGCAAGAGGAGGCCCGCCCCGGCGGCCGGAGGCCAAGCGTCGGCTCGCGCCCCCTGCTGGCCAGGAGGAGTCACTGCGGCCACGCCGAGGCCGAGGCCGAGGCCGGGGCGGGGCTGAGTAGGGAATACTCGACAAAAAATACACAATATTTTTTGTGTGCCTCTCTGTGCTAAGCGCTTAACATGGATTGCCTTCCTGCCCATTGCTTTGCGGATAACTCTAAAATCTTGGTTGTTCCCTGAACACCCTCCAGCAGCTCGCTCAGCGATCCTCTTCCGCCTCATCATTTATTAGCCACCCTGGATTTTCATCCTCCTTCTCCCTCCTGCCCGGCAGGGTTTCTCAGCCTCGCCGTGGTTGACATGTGGGACCAGTTAACACTTGTATGTCCTGAGGGCTATAAGGCAGCTATCCCTAGCCTCTACCCGCTAGCTGCCATGATGACCCCTGCCACCAATTCCAAATGCCCCAGATCCCGAGATAGAGTATTGACAGGTGTGGAGGGAGGTTCAAGGCGTTGGGAACCAAAGCTGCACGCGTAGGAGGGGACTAGGAATGCAGTGCAGCTGCCACCTCTCCAAACTGTGTTGGGTCTGCCTTGCTGATGCTGCGCCTCAGCTAGCTGCAAGTTGCCCACCATCACACTGCTGTGTTGTTGGGGGGACGCAGGGGCACACCTATCGTTCCAGCACTCTGGGAGGCTGAGGCAGCAGGATGGCAAGTGTGGTGGGTTAAACTAATGGGCGACTTGCAACCCCCAATTGAACTGAATCAGTGTGGTGCAGGGTGTTAGAAGGCCCACCTGAGGATGGTTTCCTGCAGGGAGAAGCTCTGGCTTTTCTAAAAGGAGCTCAGCTCTTCTCATTGTTGGAGGTAGGTTTGGTTCTTGAGGTTCTGGGGATGGCTATGGTTCTTTTTAGGGGTGCAGTGGTCCTTATCATGAATGTCATTTCCTGCCTCCAGTGCAGACCCCTCAGCCTGCGGGCACAGATCTTTCATCCCACTGGCACAGACTCTGTAGCTTCCACCAGTGATCTGTGGGCCTTCCCAATGCAGATCCTTGATATAGACTTGCATGAGACATTGTCACAGGCTCTAGGTCTTCAGCTGGATTTGTGCAGGATACTGCCATGGGAACCAGGCCTTTAGCTGGATTCTTTAGGTCTTCATTGTGTGCACAGAGCTCCTGCACTGTTTTGCATGTGATTCTTTGGGTGAATATTGTCAAATAACCCTATAATTTATATATCATGTATTAAATCCTTTCCCCCTGTAAACCTTGACAACAACAGCAAGTTTAAGCCCAGACTGGGTAATTTAGCAGTTTAGTGAGACCCTATCTCAAAAAGAAAAAGAAAAAAAAGGGGGGGGCTGGGGCTGTAGTTTATGGAAAGGTCCTAGGTTCAATCCCCAGTGAAAACTACAAGACTAACTCAAGTGCAAAGGCCCTGCATTCTATCCCCAACAATGAATAAGTAAACTGGTGAGTTCTATTTTCTTCATGGCTCCAGCTTTTTGAAATGCCGCCTCTTAGTGTTTGATGTAGGTACAGGACTCTCCCTAGAAGCTGTCAACTGCCCCGTGTGTTCCTCACTCCTCCACTCATGCTGTGCCCGGAGTTTGATGCCCAAGGGTCTGTTCAGAGGTGCTCAGGATGCGTGGAAGATGCCTGAAATGTTTCATCTGATCCTCAGGACAACCCTAGGAAGTAAGCATGATTGGCATTTCCATGTCACCAATCAGGAGGGTGAAGCACCAGGGCCCTGAGTTTGCCTGAGGTCCCACTCACCCAGTCACACTCTAGGACCTGGCTCTCTTTATCATGGCAAGGATCAGTTGCCAGCAGCATGTTAGAAATTATCCCTGCGCCACATTTCTGGAAAGAGTACAGGGAGACTCAGAGCCGGAGCTTCCAAATCGCTCAGCTTTTGAATGGGAAGCTATCGCAGAAGAATCTCTAAGTGCCAATGCCTATATCCAGGGCCCCCAGAAAAGTGACCAGATAAATCAGCCCTCTGAGTCTTCGTGGTAACATAACACTATTTATTTATACTTTCAAATAGAGGGACAGGCAGCTTGGCCAATGGATTTTTAAAAACCCTTGCCTTTATGGAAAACCTCAAGTGAACATGAATTCTTGGTACACTTTTAGCAAGTGTCAGCTCAGATCTACTCTTGCTTTACTAATGCCCTGACCCGTGTCTCTAACCCCCGTCCTATTATTTCGAAGCATATTGTGGTTATCACATCATTCATCTGTAAATATTTCAACTTGTATCACTACAAAAATTAAAATCTCCTCTTTTTTGTACTTAACCATGCAATAGCATCAATACCCCTAAGAAGTTAATAATAGTTCCTAAAAAGTCCTATGCTAGTTAGCATTCATGTCATTGTTATTTTAAAAGATTTCTAGTTTGAAACCGCACCTGACCATTGCAGTCTGACAACGTCTCATAAAGTCTCTTTTTATCTTCTCTGCAGGTTTCCCTTCCGTCTCCTTTTTTGCTTGCGTTCCATTTAATTTTAGGAATCAGGCGCTGTTTTCCAGTAGAGATTCACATGGTCTGTGTCACTTAACATGGGCCTCTGTCCTATTTCCTCAAAACTGGTAGTTGGATCTAGTTCACTTGTATCTAGTCCATCTAGCGGATAGTATTTTATTCTTTTTCCATCAGGAGGCACATCGTTGGGTGTTTGTTTTACGCTTTTATCAGGTATCGGTGACTAATATCTAAATTCAGAAATTCATTAAAGATTATAAGATAACAACAGAAGTTCTGCCATTCCCACTTCATTTTTTAGTGAAATATTTTTATAAAGAAAAAGCTTCTCTTGATCTGCAGTTTGGTATATTTCACAGAAGAAAGACAAGGGTTTCCTTCCTTTATTCATAAATTCTTAAGACAACATACTGGTTTTCTATCACCTTCCAGTCTTGCTATCAAGTGTAGCTTGCCTGTATTGCATAGGTGTCCCGGCTGCTCACAACGCCCCTGTGTTGGCCAGTGCGGGCTGCTGGCAGTGGGCCAGTGAGCTTTTTGACAAGACTGTGACTCCGGAGGTGAACTGGAGCTCTATTCTGGCAGGGCCCTGGGTCATTCAAGAGATGTGGGCCCGAAATGCCACATCCTGGAAGGATCAAGACAGACCCCAGCTCTGCTCTGGCTTCGAAGAGGACACCAGCAGTGTCTTCTGCTCAGGCTCACCTGCAGCCAGTGGCCGTTTTCTGTATCTGCAGTGTTCCCGTAGCACTAGTCTCTTCTCTGGCTCTTCATCTCGCCCTGCTCTCTCCTCTGACTGCAGCCCCTTCCACAAACATTTCAACAGTGGTTGTTTTGTTGAGGTCTTTTTGCTGTTTTGAAGAGCTGGTATCTCCAAACTACAAATCTATGGGAAAATGAAGTTTAGATGAAATTCAAAAAAATCTTTTTTTTTCTGAGTGAAGTTCGTCTCACCGTACGAATGTTGGCTCTTTTATACCATCTATAATATCAAAGGTTTCTACTTTTAAAAATTCCAAGGAGGCTTTGTGGCATATCAAACGAGGCTGTTTGTTTTCATTTCCTTAACGCTCACAGACGCACAGAAGGAGGTATTATTATTCCTGTTTTATGTAGGAGGAAACTAAAGCACCGAGGCTGGCTTGCCCCATGCCGTGGAGAAATGAAGCCAGAAACCAGGATTCAAACCAGACCTGGCTGGGTGTCAGCTTAGTCTTTTCATAACGTGTCAGAGACAGCCCCACTCCGCCTCTTCCAATAAAGCCTTTTGGTGACTTCCTGTTGCTCCTGTGATGAAAACACTAGGTGCCTCAGAAGCCCTTCCCCCGCCACACCGCATCTCCCCTTCCTGTGCCCCAGCCGCCTCAGGCACTGCCCAAGGCCCCTCTGCTCCACTCCAGCCCTGCTTCTCAGTTTCTTACGGTCTCCTCTCTTCTACCACAGAGCCTTTGCACATGCCGCTTTTGTTGCCAGAAGCCATCTTCTGCCTCTTCCTTCCCTTCTCATCTCTCAGATCCCACTCAGTATCTGTTTTCAACAGGAAAACAGAGGAGCTGCCTCTCCAAATCAGACCCCAGGTTATTGTATGTGCTTATAGCCCATATGCTTCTCCTTTATTGCCCGGAAAGCTGTGGTTGCTTCTGTCATTTTGTAATGTTCAGTAAGATCTTCCACCTACATGTGCACACACGTGTGCACACACACACACCTACCCCTTCCCACACACAGCAGGCTTCCTTCCAGAAGGGGCCAGCTGGGCCATGCTCACCATTGTCTCTCCAGCACTTGGCCGGGGTTTGAAGGAGCTCAGTAGATACTGGCTGAATGCATAGCTAAGGGCATCTATGGAGCACCTGAGCATCAAGTTTCCCTGGGTCACCTGCAGTGGGCTCAGCCTGCTGTTTATTGTCACCCATGGTTTATTCTAGCTCTCAGCTCAACTTCAGTTCTGTCAAACCTACAGCAGTTTTGTCAAGAAGCTTGCCAGATCTGAAATCAAGCGTCTGACTGTAAAGAATCCAGTGCCTCCCTCCTGCTGGCCCACTGGCCCCAAGGCTATCACCTGTCTTATCCCCGAGGGTGAGTCAGAGAAAATGTCCTGGACAAACCCGGTGTTTGGAGAGCCCAGGAGCTAGAGAGAGAGGCCAGCTCATCCAGCTCATCCTCGCTGCCCCGCCCACTCAGCCTGCAGACCAGGCCCCAGCAGGCTCCTCTGCCTGCTCTGACCAAACAGTGGCTAAGCTTTGGGCATGGCCCCAGGTGGAGGAGGGCTCCCCACACTCAGAGAACTCGGTCCAGACTTCCTACCTGCAGGGTCCTAAGACCCTCTTACAAAACAGGAAGATGCTACCAGATAAGCTAGTGTCCGCTGGCCACCTGCAGGGTGCTGAGTTCCTATTTTTAATACATAGGGGCAAGACCAGTGAACAGTAAAGTTGCTAACTTGTTCAGTGTCATTATTTTAAACTACTCCAGGAATCCCAGCACTTGGGAGGCTGAGGCAGGAGGAGCACAGTGAGTTGGGGCCAGCCCAGGATAGAGTGAAATCTACTCCAGCCTACACTACAGAGCCAAAGCTTGTCTCAAAAACAGAATGAATACATAAGTAAATAAGATCATGCCACAGTTTGGGGGCTCTGTTTTGACATCTTTTCACATTTGATGTTCTATGAGCCTTTAAAAACAAAGAAGAAGAAGAAATTGAAATGACCATGGCTTCTCTCTGAGGCTGCTCACCTTATTCCCCGAGCCCCCAGACTCCCAGTTGTCTCTTGCTAACCCTAGAGCTTGGTGCAGAGCCCCTTGGAAGCCCCAGGTCCGGCACACCCAATGTTGGGCGGGTGAGTGCAGGTGTTGGGGGGCTCTGATTCTCCAGAATGGGGTGTTCAGTGCTTCCTGCCGTCAGGCCTCTGCTACCTGAAGCTGATTGTGAGTCGAGAGGGGCGAGCTGACAGCAAAAAGCCCACCCAGCACAGGGAAACCGGAGCTGTAGGTTTTCCATTTTGATTAACATTCTTCCCACCCCGTGGCGTGACTTTTTCCGGCTTTTGGCCAAAGAGCCAATGCGAATTTTTATGGCCTGTGTAAGCAGTACAGAAAGAAAAGTCATGCTGGCCCCATGAACTCCCCCAGGCCCCAGCGGGTTTCTCAGAATGAATAATCACAGGGCCTCCAGTAGACAGCCCTGGAGAAGAATATCCAAGTTGATCCCCCCCACCCCGTTCTTTTGATAGTGCTTTCCTTTAGCTGTGGTTTGATTATTTTTAACATTGCTTCCTGACTTGCTTTTTAATTTGCAGAAAGCTGCGAGATAGAAAAGGAAGAGGGAGGGGGGGAGGCGACAGAGAACAAGCAGTCAGTGTGCACTTCCTGGAAATACGAGCTCAGTTTCGGGGTACACTCTGCAGAGCACATGCAGGGTGCAGATGCCAGACACCCCCAGGGCACGGATTACTGGACGCCAGTCCTGTAGCACTGACAGGTGGACACCTGGCATCCCCGCAGCTGCCTGAACTCACCGAGGCTGCAGATGTACCGCCGCCCCCACCCCCGGCTGTCCCTGCTGGTTCAGCCTGCATTTATTCTTCTGCTCTCACATGCGAGCTTTTCTCTCAGCAGCTGAATTCTGTGCTTTTGAAATGGCCCAAAGCCATCCCCTCTGCACGCCTCGTTTGCAGAGCCGTAGAAGGTACTGCACAAATCACCCCGACCCAGGATCAATTAGGCCCTTCTGGAAGCCCCCAAACAACTGCAGCTGACCTCCCTCATCCATTGTTCAGAAAAGCATCTTCTGGATTTTAGAAATTAGAAGTAGCTTTCAGCTGGCCTTGCTTCATTCAGTTCCCGCATACCGAGCACCAACCATCTGCCGGGCACCACAATGGACAGTTCAGCGTCTGTAACTTTTTTGGAGCTCGGGTTTCCCTGGGAGGGCGAACAGACCAGCTGGCAACAGTGAAAGTGGCAGCAGGGTGAGGGCATACAGAGCTGAGATGGTGGGCACAGGGGTCAGGCGGAGGGACTGGCACCCACCAGAAGCCACAGGCAAAATGAGCCCCCTTCCTTGGGGAGATCGGCCAGAATCAGGAAGCCCGGCCAGCCTCATCGCCTCCAGACAACCTGGCTCACAACCTTCCGAAGCCAGGGGGGGAGAAAATGTCCCTGCCTCTGCGGCAGGAGGAGTCCGGGGTAAGAAACACTCCATTCACGTCATCAATGGAACGTTGTTCTCGCCCGGGGCTGGAAGAGAAAGGGGATCTTCCCCTCTGGTTCAGAGGAAAGAAAGGGGGCCCTGTGGAGAGAGAAACCTGCTCCAGTTATCGGAAGGGAACCCCCGCAGGACTGGCTGGGTCCACAGAAAAGAAAATGGACTCTGCCAGCCAACTTTCCATTTCAAAAGTAGATCTCTAAAAACAAGAGCCTCGCTTCTGTCCTTTTGTGTTTCTTAGCAAATACCTTGCAGATAAGTAATGGGTGGATTAGACAGCTCAGGGTGAACTGGGCACACAACACCTCCCTGGAGCCCAGTGACTGAGCCCTGGACCTAGTCCCAATGACAAGGACTAATACCTCCTGGCACTAAGTACCCAGCAGTATATGAAGCTGTTTCTGTAGAGTAACTGCATAAGCCTCACAGTAGCTTTTGCAGGTAGATTTTACTACTCTACCCATTTTACAGATGAAGAAACTAAGGCCACTGAGTTGGTCAGCCAGCCAAGGTCATAGAACTGGGACTATGGAGCAGGGACTGGGACTGTTCTATGTCAGGGGACAGACACCACTTAACTTCCACAGGCATCCCCTCACGCTCTGTTGAATCCTCTCCTTGAGAATCCAGTGAAGCCCCCATGTGGAGTCAGGAAAGACCATAAGACAGGAATACTGTTCTCAACCTGGGCCCTGGGGGTACACAACACAAACACCCCTAAATATAACGGCTCCTCTCACCTGAGGTTTCTGCTTTGGAGAGAGTCAGGCTATGCATGTGGAAGGCCATTTTCCCTCCGCAAATTATTCAGAGAAACGGCCTGAAAAATCACACACATCAGCTGGGCATGGTGATGTTCTAAAATCGCAGCGTTTGGGAGGCTGAGGCAGGAGGATCCTTGCAAGTTCGAGACCAACCTGGGCTACAAAGTGAGCTCAAGGCCAGCTGAACTGCGTAGCAAGACCCCGTCTCTAAAAGATAATTAATTAATTAATTAATTAAAGTGAAACACACTGAGCTCCCATGGGGAAGAGGGCCTGAGCGCGCTCAGGTAACTGGTAGGAAGACTGGTCCTGCTGTGTGTGCTCGTGGCCCCTTGTGCCCGGGGCTGAGCCCAGGCATCTTACCGTAAGGCCGCCCTGGCTGCCCTGTATTACTCATCAGACAGCCCTGGGGCTGCGATGACTCAGAAGGCTGCTGCCTGGGGTTGGAGGAGGAAGTGGCCTCTGCACAGCACTGGCCTTCCATCTGCACTTACTAATCCCCTCTCCGCTCAGCATGTGTCACTTGGAAGTCATTCGGCTGCGGTGTTCCAGAAGCTTCTGTGAGCCGTCTCGCACGTGGCTCCCCTCTGACCAGAGCATCACTGCCCATTGACTGGCCAGATGACCTAGTCTCACTAGTGTGGTCTAAGTGGTCGGAAAGCCGATCAAGGACACGCATGAACAAGGACCTGCTTTCCACTCGGCCGGGCAGGTTTCTGCGGAAATTATTCTAGGTTGACACTCCCCAGACCAAGCGCCTCTGACCGCGGAAATGACATGTTCGCATCTTATGTCTGGGCTGAGGGAGGAAAGGGGGCGGTTTGGGGTCTGTGTGTGCAGAGGAAGCGGGGCATCAGACCTCTGTCCCTCTGTCCCCTGTCTCGGACAGACAGCAAATGGTCGAGGTGATTCTCCCCTGGGAGCCTGAGCCAGTATCTCCACCTTTCTGTGCCTGGGTTTTCCCTACTTGGCAGGTAGGGGTGAAAATGTCACCCCGCCTCATAACCCTGAGGGTTACATGAGCTAACCTCCCAAAACCACTGTGAGTCTGACAGGAAGTGAAGCACTCCGCGTGTTTTGTGACTGTGACTGTGTTTCTTTGACTTCCATCGAACATCTGCCTTCAACTCCACAAAGTAAGCGAGCAAACACACACGCTTTCATTAAGCCTTCTTCTTTTTTTGTCTTTTCATGGCCTAGTTAGTATATGAATGCAGCCTCCTAATTCAAAAAGCTTCAGCCATACCGTGGCAGTGGGTTGCAGTGGACCCCAAAACGTCACAGTCACCTGGAACCCGGATATGACTTACTTGGAAATAGTGCCATCAAAGGTAGGATTGATTGGAGATCTCAAGATGAAATCATTCTGATTTAGAGTGCCCTAAATTCAGCAGGACACGAGGACTCCCGGGGAGGAAGGCCTTGTGACAGCAGGAGAGAACTGGCTGCCACCAGCCGGGGAAGATCTGGGCCACCAGGAGCCTGATGGGCAGGAAGGATTCTTTCCGAGAGCCTTTGGAGACAGCGTAAACCTGCCAGTAGCCTAATGCTTGACTTCTGGCCTCCAGAACAATGGGAATGAATCAGTTCCTGTTGCTTCCAGCCACCTATTTTGGGATGATTTGCTCCGGCTAGGAAATCATCAAAGCCCTTTCTCCCCCATGGGCAATGCCTCTAATTTACAGTTAATACAAGGTAAGAAATCATCTAGACCATGTCTCACTTTGCATAACCCACAGGTTTTCAGGGTAATTTTAGCCCCCCCCCCTTCCCCTTTTTCATGAATGTTACACTTTTGTTCCAAGTTAGGCGTCTTCTACAAATCTGATCACTATGGCTCCGGTCTCGCTAAGGGCAGGAATCTGAGGGCTGTGCCACATCTTCAGCTGTGAGCAAGAGACACAGTTACCTGGGACACGAAAGGGACTTTTATACAGGGTTTAAAACAGGGAGCCCATCAACATCACCCTGACTATGACCTAGCAGGTTTAGAGTGCAGTCCCTTAGGAGCATCTGATAAGTAATGCCAACCCAAACGATGCACCAAACATGTAAAATATCAGTGTGCTGGTCCTCGTGCTCAATTAAAACCCAGGTGTGGGGGTGCCCAGCTGTGATCTCAGTTACTTGAGAGGATGAGGTAGGAGGATCACCAGTTTGAGACCAGCCCAAGGGAACTGAATGAGACCCTACCTTAAAATTTAACCAGGGTGAGGGGAATGCAGCTCAGTAGTATAGCTCTTGCTTAGCAGTGGGAAGCTCTGGGTTCAATCCCCAGTACAAAGAAAAAAAGAGAGAAAAGGAGGGAGGGAGAAAGAAAAAAAGGGAGAGAACGAAGGAGGGAGGGAGAGAGGAAAAAAGGAAAGTGAAAGGAAGAGAAGGGAAGGGAAGGAAGGAAGGAAGGAAGGAAGGAAAGAAGGAGAGGATCTCCATCATTATTGGGGGAAATTTGGCAGAACCAAAAGAGGCACCTAGATTCTCCAAACTCATCAAGATCCCAAGAATGGCAGCTTGCCTCATCTCAACCCGAAGCCCCTGGCTTGCCTGCAGAGAAGCCCAAGGTGGGGAGGGACCCTGAGGAGGTTTGCAGGAGGGGTGGCTCCAAGGAAGTGGAGTCTGGCGTCTTCTCCTTAGATGCAGATAGGGTGAGGACTCTGCCGCAGGCTCCTGTGAAGTGGAGCTCCTCTCTTCCCCAGCAGTGACCCAAGAAATTAACTTACACAAAAGCAGCCAAGCCTTGGATAAGATGAAGACAATGCATTTTAAGTAACAATCTGCATTTCTGAAGCTAGTTTAGATGATGCCTTCTTCAGACCTCTTAAAAATAGACACACGGCTTGCCTTGCTAACACAGCAAAGGGGGACAGATACAAAGGCAAGGGACCACTCATCAGTCAGGGGGAGACATCTCTCTGTGCTTGTTCCTGCCTGCTTGGCTGGAGCAGGCATCAGGCACCACACTGCACCGTTTCTGACGCACACCACACATTACCTGGTGACCTGACTCTGGATGATCCCGGTTGGTATTGGGCTCAGCACCCTAACTGTCATCCTGCTGCTAAATGACCTCCCAAGACTGCTGTCAGTCCCATGCGGTGGTATACTTCCCTGCACCCCACTTACACCTTCGGGTGGCTTTATTGGTTCAGCAGCGGCCCAGAGACTTCTCTTTCTAGGGCAGGAGCCTCTGCTAGGATTTCTCGGAATAGCTGTACTCCTGCACTCCCCGCCATGGGAAATAATTAAGACCACAGCATGAATGCTTGCTTGCAGGGATCCAGGGCTCCTCTGAAACGGAAGAAACCTGGGTTGCGGTGAGGGTAAAGTTTCTGGGGAGGAGGGATGCAGTCCCAGAGAGTGACTAGTAGGACATTGTTCTCTAGCCTTATATCCTACTTCTGTGGCTGACTTGAAACAGTTATCAACCAAGGAGAATTTTTTACATTTTCTGATGTGGCCAGATGTGGTGACTCACGCCTGTAATTCCAGTCCCTGGGAGTCCGAGGCAGGAGAATCACCACGAGTTCAATGCCAGCCTGAATTACGCAGTGGGACCCTCTCTAAAACAAAAATCTGACATAATCTTAGAAAATAATTTTATCTCCCTGCTTCCACACCCACCGATGGCCCCTCTGCTGTCCCTTCTCAACCCAGTACCAGTGAGTCCTTTTAGTTCTGAGTTCGGTCGTGTCACATCATCACTCACATCCCTGCCCAACACCTCCGTCCTCTTTCCACGGGGCTTCTCCTCCTCTCCTCTCCTCTCCTCTCCTCTCCTCTCCTCTCCTCTCCTCTCCTCTCCTCTCCTCTCCTGTTGCTGTAGTCTCTATGGCCTTCTTCCTGCACTGGAACCTTCCAGGCTCCTGCCCCAGCCTGTATGCCTCTGCCTGGTCCTGGCTGGTCCCACTCCTTGATTTCTTTCCATCTCAGTTTCTGCCTCAAGGCCTGCCCCTGAGAACCCCATTTGATGCAGTGATCCGCTCTCTCCGCACCCCCCACCATGCACACCAACGCTTTATCTTTCCCAGAGCGCTTAGGAGCTACCTACGTGTAATCCTTTGTCTATTGTGTTTCTCATCTGTTATCCAACTGTTCCACCATGAGGCTGTCAGGAGCTCCAGGAGGGGAGGAAACCCCTGCTTTTTCGCTTCTGTATTCCAAGTGCTTTGCACAGTGCTAGACATTTAACAGGTGCTCTGTTACCGTGTGATGGATGCATGTCTGAGTATGTAAATGAATGAATGTATAAAGCTTGGCTCTGGGTTGACAGTTGATTTGTGATAAGAATATCATCTCTAGAGAGTTCTCAAGTAAGGACACGGAAAATGTAGAGAAGACTGAACACACAATAAATGTCATTTATTTATTGTTAGTATGTGCTCCTCAATGTTGTTTACCAATGTTAATAAGGACAAAGGCGACAAAACTGGGAAAAGACAGTTTGGTCAGTAATTTTACTTTAGAAAGCAGAACCTTCTTTTAAATACAAGAAGCTCACAGCAGTTCTATGTCTTCTTGGCAAAAACAGTTGCCTAGAATACTAATCAAACATTAGGTTTCCTTTCATTAGATGAATATAGGAAAAAGAATGAATATTCAAGGAAGTTACTTAAAAGTCACAAATATTTTGCCAAAAGAAAAATTCTGCTGTGAGTGAACAATACAGTAGTTTTTAACTGCCTTTCAGCGGCTCTACTTCTGCACAGGGAGGTGAGCGCCTGTGATTCAGTGAAAAGCCACAGTGAGACTGGCTTGCTGCTGAAGTGACAGGCCCAGGGCTCACGCGAAGGTGGTGTAATGGATAATCACTGGCTAATCGTCATTCCATCCCATTACATTCTTCAGGGGAAGCAACACAACTCAAAAGAATAGCAGTACCAAGCCGTATGAAGACATCCAGACCCAAATCCAGGAGAAAGTCTGACACTTCGGTCCTAACACTCTGAGTTTGAGAGAAGAGCAAATCTCATGCAAAATAAGATGACAAACTGGATGTGAGTCCTTAGGGTTTGTAAGGAAAATGTGCTTTTGTTTCTTGGCTCGCAGTGTTGGCAACAGAACCCAGGGCCTCATGCTCACTAAGCAAGTGCTCTACCGCTAAGCCACGCTCCCAGCCCCAGGAAATGTGCACTGTTCTTGTTGTTCATATGTTAGAGACCGAAAGGTGTTTATTATCATTGTCTCCAATGTGCTTTGCAGGGTCGCCTTCCACAACCTGGATGCTGATCTGATTAAGGAGACACATTCAATGGCACTTTCCTGTGTCAGCTGGAAAAAAGGTACAAGTCTAACGTTTTTAAGAAGTGCATGGAACCATCAAGACCTGATGAGAAGCAGCACCAAATAAAGGCTTTTCTGGTGCAAAGCAAAGGTCAGCAGCGTTTTACGGACAAAGACAGGGAACAATCTTGGTTTCTTAGGCAAGGCGGCCCCATGAGAAAATCCTTCGGTATATTAAATGTGATCTGCTTTTGCAGAGCCCAAAGGGCTCCTTCTCGCTGCCTTCACTCACCCCCACCAGGTACCATCCATGCCCAGTAGCGGGTCCCTCTTGGTGGCCTCTGGGTAGGCTACGACTCTCTGACAAGTCTGTCTCTTTTGCCCTTTTATCCTAACCCTTTCCGGTCACGTGAGGCTTCTTTCGACTTTTGTCTCTTTCTCCTCTTCATTCCGCTCCCTCTCGCATGTGAATAAGAGGAGCGGTTTCTCCTTCATCTTCTCTCCCTCTACGTGCTTCTTGTCATCACCCCCAACACCGCCACCCCGTGCCTCTTTGATCAGCACCTGGCGTGTTTTAGCTATTGCCACTATTGTCTCCAAATGCGCACGTCTATGATCCATCAGAGCTCCAGTCGAATAAATTCTCAATCTTCCTCGGAGCCTTCCCAGATTTTTTCCAACCTGATGTAATACTTCTTGGTTATTAACTTGGGCTCTCACGGTACTCATTATATTCTTTGGGAAAGCATTGTTTACTGAGCTACATACGACAAGTATTGGGCTCCATGCCTTATGTGTAGTATCTCCTTTGTCCTTGAAAAGTCCGTATTACTCCATCTATCCTGTGAGGAAACCAAAACACCCAGAAGATAAGCTACTTTTTCAGACTCATCAAGCAAATATAATTAAGCTCATTTGACTTTTTGTGGCCCTTCTCCATCAAATACCCCCTAAAGGTGAGGTTGGTCTGTCTTAGCTTTCTCTCCCCTGAGGCTCAAAGGAAGAAAGTGAATGTAAACGCCCAGTGTTGATTTGAAATGAAAGTGCCATTTGCATGCCAGATGCTGGTGCTGTGATTTTTTTTCAAATAGACATTTATATAACAATGTAGACTTTACAGTACATTTCCTTTCCTTTCCTATTTTAATGGTACTGGGGATTGAACCAAACTTACAATGCATATTCACTAAGCTATCGTGGCAATCCTGAGAGATACCTGTTATCATCGTCTCCCTTTTTCACATGAGAATCAGGGAGGCAGAGAGGTTAATTGGCTTTCTCCAGTGCAAACTGCCAACAGTAGCAGAGCCAAGACTCAAATAAATGCAATACCTCCTCCATCCGCTGGCAATATACCACTATTACCTTTTGTCCAGTACTGAGATTTAACAGATGGTGTAATGCATAGATGACAAAATCAACCTTACCTGGGTTTCAAATCCTGCAGGAAATGCAATGGTTACAAGTTAGCAGAAAACTCTGCTGCCAGAGTTCAGTTCTTATGAAGGGCAAGAGAGAATCCAGAACCAGACCAAGTGAAAGAAATCTCTCAAGTGGTTCAGCTCAAGTTGTTCCTTTAATTGAAATACAGATTTATGTAAAATAATGAACCAAAAGATCTTGAAGAACTCTGAACATTGGTCTTCCTCGCTCATAAAGACTTCTGGAAATTTCTTCCTTCAGAAAGGTCTTTTCTCTTTGTTTGCTTCTTGTGCTACTGAGAATTAAACCCAGGGCCCTTGCACTGAGATACATTTGCATGCCGTTTCTTTTTTATTTTGAGCCAAGCTGTAGCTAAGTTGTTAAATTGCCCTGGCTGAGCTCAAATTTGCAATCCTCCTGCTGCAGCCTCCCAGAGAACCAATATGCCTGAGCAGACAGATCTTTTCCAGAAAGGTCCAGTGTAGTATCATTTCAACACTGGCCAGTGATGTCTGCACAGAAGTGAGGACTAGGTGATGTAATCATTTGTAGATTTGTAAATGTGGAAATTCAGGTTGGGGTATGAGATAGGGAGCTTGATAAGTAGAAAGATATAGAGCCAGAAATGCTGACATGTGCTTGCCACAGGAAGAATTGCAACATCAGCCTGGGATTCGATCTGTCGCTGGCCTTTGCCTCTCTTCACCTGGGACTGCTGTGTGACTGGAGGGGAGTTCAGCCACATTATCTCACTCTCCAGATGGGCACTCGGGTGGAACAGGCATGCTATCTAATTTAACGCGTTATCTGCTGAACTCAGTGTACAAAGTTTGAAGCCACATGGTGTTGGGAAATGGAACAAGGAGCCAGACATTCTTCCCCAATGGCTTCCTGGGTGATAGGAAAGGGCTGGTGAAGGATCTGAAGAGAGATTTGAAAGGTTACCAAAAGCAGTGGGATAAGGCAGTGGGCAGTTCCCAAGATACTGCCTTGGTTCAAGAAGGATCAGAGGAAGGAGACTGCATGGAGAAGCAGGCAGGTTTGGAGGAGAGGGGCCCCGAGAGGAAGGAACAAGCTGGGTTGAGGCTGGTGCTGGAAACTAGGGAAACAAGACCAGGAGGGAGAATTCGATTCTTTTATAGCATGGGATTCTTGAAGATTTGTGTCTCTCTTAGTTTTTAATTTTTAACATTTCTGGTCATGGGGTTTGAATGTAGTAGTAAAATCTTTCAGTAAGGTGAAATTCTTACTCACTTGTGGTCTGACCCACCCTCAGCTCAGCCAGCAGAAGAAACATAAAGCCACCCGGGAAGTGGGCTAATAGCCCTACCCAGGAAGAAAGCCATACACTACCGTTCAGCCTCTGCAGCTGGAGACCTGTCCTTGCTGGGACACAGGAGGTGGTGCACCCCTGTAATCCAGTATCTCAGAGGATGAGGCAGGGGGCTCACGCGTTGGAGTTCAGCCATGGCAATATAATGACTTAGTAAGACCCTATCTCAAAAATGGAAGGGGCTCCAGACCTGGGCTCATTTCCCAGTACTAGGGTGGGTGGAAGACCTGACCTTGGTTAGTACAACCGGAAAAGTCACTGAAGTTACAGAGAAGCTGGTAAAATCCGTACTCCTTTATAGCCCTCGCTAAGGCAAGCTGCTTAATTTCAAATGTTTAAGTGAACTTTACCAGTATGAAATGCACGTACTGTAATCCACACCTCATGCTTTGTGTCACCGTCCAGATGTGTTGAGTCAGCTTTTGTTATATGTGTGAATACTGTCCTTTGTGAAGTTGAGGAATATGAAAGGAAAAGGGAAGGGGGGGAAATAGTTTCATGCCCAAGTCTAAATTTCTACATCTCATAATTTATTCAAATCTAGGCAGCGTAGTGTGATACATTTCCCAAATAAGAAATAAGTAAGGTATTTCATTTCTAACTCAAAAATATAGATTGGCTATCATCTTAAGCCACTTGGTAGCTTATTTCAAGGTTTCTTTTTTTTGTGATTAAACTTAGCTCCATCTATGTATGATTTGGGTACCAGACTTGAATACAATGAAGAGGCTGACATTTTGCTATGTCTTGGATCACTGGGGTTTTCTACATTATAAAAAGAAAATGTGTGGCAGTGTTATGTCTGGCCCAGGCTATGAACAACCCTTTCTTCAGGAGAATTTGTTCCCATTGTTATCTCAGCATGTTTTCAGCATCAGTGCATCAATTATGCTGTCATTAGCAAGAATACTGAGACAGGGGAAAAGATCTATTAGATCATCACAATCCATTGCTGGAGTCAGGCCAAGTCTCCTGGGAGAGGCTATGACATGCTGTCTTAGGCAGATGACCCAGGAAAATTGAGAGCCATGTAAAGGTTTACCCTGCTACAGTTGTTTTTGTTTGTTTTTTTAATTTTTGAAAGTTTCTCAAATAACTCACAGGGAGATACTGATCATGAAAATTTAGAAATTCATACAGGTAATCAGGGTGGAATTTAGGTTCATAGCAAATGATTTTTTTCCCCTTAGCAATATCTGGAGACGCTTTGGGGTGTTATAACTCAGGGGAAGAGATTCCTACAGGCACCGCGGGGCAGAAGCTAGGGATGCTGTCACATGCTGGGCTATACAGAATCCTCTCCCCAGCCCCGCCCTTGCTCACATGCAAAGAATTTTCCAGCCTAAAATCCCAGTGACGCTGAGCTTGCAAAACCCAAATTTAGGTCTTTCCCCAAGCTTCTTCTTTTTCCTGCTGCTTACCTATCAAGTCCCAACAAAGCAGATTGCTTGACCCAACTAAATGACCCTGAAAAATATATATTCTTTTGACACAATTTTAATATATTTTTTGTGGTACTGGGGAGCAAATCCATAGCCTCACAGATGTTATGCTACACATACATATTATTCATTGAGTTACATGCCCAGCCCTTCAAATAAAACTCTTACTAAGTCTTAGTCCCCAGATAAACACGTGTTCATAATCACACACAGAAACAAAATCACCTTGGCTACTTATTTCAAGATTTAGAGTGTGTTGAGTTTAATAAAACTCCGGGTCAAATGCATAATGTTCTAGAGAATTAAAGAGAAACAATCATTAAATGTGTGAGAAGAAATAAACCATCATTCTTGTCTTAACCTTTAGAACCCCATTGTTAATCAGAAGCTTGTTTTTGCTTCAAGTTGTAGGCAGGGCAGATGTTTAAAGTCAAATCCTTAAGGGAAGAACTTCTGAGCAAACAACAATCTCAAAATTCAGTCAGTGTCCCTACGTTCATCAGAACCCCCACACAGGCTTTTTTAAGATGAGAGGAAAAAAGAATATGAGGTAAGAAGGAGGTAGAGTAAAAAAAGGAAGGAAAGGGGAAGAGAAAAGAAAGAAAAACCCAAAGTTTTATTTTTGCAGATTTAAAGGCTAATAAAAGTTCCCTGACCGGCTGTCCTATACCCGGCTAACTGGAACTCTGCTGGCCTTTGTCTTATGTATGTGTAGATTTAAGCACTAAAGATCAGGCTGAAAACGGATAAGGAAATTTGTTACCAAAATACTACAATCAAAAGAGGAAGCAATAATTACAAATACATTGCTTGAGTTTTTCACATGCCATCACCTTTTTTGTCTGCCTAGAGTTTCCAGTTTTAAGAATCTAATATGAGTTAATATTCCCCAGATCAAATAGTTGCTACACATCTCAGATATATCCAGACATCTCCTAAGTACAGGAAAAAGCAAGACCCACCAAGCGTCCTTGTTAAACACATATCCCTATAAAATATAGCATTTAAATTCTTTGAGGTTATCATCACAACGATGTGTATCCACTGGAAAAATTATAATTATTCTCTAAGTTACTGAGGAGTCATTTATGCCCTGAAATCATGCCTGCATCACAGCGGAGTTCTGTGCCCCACCCTGGACAAAGTCAAAGTTGACTTTTCTGCACCACTGAGCTAACTCAAATTAAAATCTGTCACTCATGTTTAGTCACAACTCTGTTACGTTTCCTAATGAACTGTGTCTGATCTTTGGCCATTTCTTAAGGTATTTCTGAGAAGTGGGAAGGTGGGGCTTAGTGGAGATGTCATGCTTGATATTCAATACAAGCATTGATACAACAGAAGCAGTGTGGAACGTCTGTCCTTCATTGCCATTAAATTCTGTCTCCTGCTCTCTGGAAGGAGGCTGCCAGGGATAATCAAACTCAAGCTCTTCCCAGAGAGGACAGCGACACAAAACACACCAGAACTAAGCACTGGTACATCAGGTCCCAACTTGATCGACTGAGGATACATCTTATAAATTCTTTTCCTTTATTGTTACTTTACTTAATGTATAAAAATGACAATAGTTTTATACACTCATAGTGTGTTTTAAAAGCGCCTATCACATAGAATGGTAGTGCAAATCGATTGCCTTTCCTGGTCTGCCCAATCCCAGGTTTCTGTGCTCCAAAGTAAGCACTATTAATAGCTCTTCATATGTTCTCCTAAACATTTTCAGAGAGGAGAAGAGAAAAATTATTTTTTTCTGTGTCCCAATTTTTTTTCCTCTCAGAGCTCACAGTAATATGTATCATCACTAAATCTTTACCAGGCGAGTCCCATAAATATCTCAAGCTATTCCAACGATGCTAGAGAGGCAATTTGGGCAGGGAAGAGATGGCAATTACAATGAATGACAGACCGGATAATTTTTTCCAGCCTTCCATGCTTTTTGTTTATGTATTTTTAAATCTGAATTCATTTTGAATTTCATAGCTACTTTAATTTAAAAGGGGCTGCATTTACTGAAATTATGTTGGGGCCTAAATTAACTCCCTATAAATCCAGGGTGCATGTGAACCTGGGCCACGGAGCTGAATATGGTGGTCCTATATCCTTGAACACGTTTGTTTTCTGTTTTTTAACTGAGGATTGGCAGGATTTCACACTGAGCTACATCCCCAGCCCTTTGCTTTATTTTTTATTTTTGAGGTAAGTTCCACTAAGACACTGAGTTGCCCAGACTGAGCTTGAGCTTGCCATCCTCCTGCCTCAGCCTCCCAGAGTGCTAGGGTTATGAACGTGTGCCACCACTATGGCCAACTTCCTTAACATCTTGTGGCTTTGAAATCCTGACACTTGGCTATTCCCTTTAAGTCCTAGTACCAGAATGCATCACTCCTCTGTCCTCCAATCTCCTGCTGGCCCAAACACATCTTAAACCTTGGTCTTGGTAAACACCCACTGGCACTTGACCATTGTACCTGGGTTTGGTCTCAGCTTCTCCAGAGGTGGAGTCATTCTGGCCTCCAGTCTGACTTGAGGCAGACTCAACATTACCTAAAAGGAGGATCTGCCACCAGATGGTCACTCTGTCTTTCTGTCCTGTGTAGGTATTCTTTGGCTTGACTTCTCCCTGAAATTGGAGCTGGGTCTGGGCCTTCTTTCTACAGCCTTTTTGACTTAGGTCTAGGATCTTCCTGCCCTGGTACTAGAGACAGGACCCAGAATCTTTGAACTGAGCCACATTCTCTGACCTTTTTGTCTTTTTAATGTTGAGACTAGGTCTCGCTAAGTTGCCAAGGCTGGTCTTGAACTTGGGATCTTCCCGTCTCAGCCTCCCAGAATGCTGGGATTACAGGCATGTGCCACTATGCTTGGCTGCCTTTTAAAAATTTTTGGTATTGAGACAGGATCTCACTACATAGCTAATGTAAGCTCAGGAGGGTTTTAGTCAGTCATTCCCCTCACCTGGCTCTGCCCTTGGCCTTTTAGCACAGATTGCTGTGGACAGAAAACACAAAGAAAAGTGTTTCTCTTCATTTTTGTTCTTCATGCAAGTCAGCCCGAACCCAGAGCCCCTGGGAACACCTCATTAACAGAAACGGAGCAGAGCAAGATTGCTGGAAGAGAGGTACAAACAGAAGCTGCAGCCTGACCAAAGCTGGCGGAGAGACATGCTGGGGCCTGACAGTCAGCTTCTCTCACACCTGCCCTGCGAAGTCCACCTGGCTCAGGTGACTCCCCTCCCCCAGGCCACCCACAGTTCCTCTTTACAGCTGTGCCGAGGCACGGGACCGGCCTGGTCTCGGTGGGGCCACACTGGTCTAGCCTCGGGCACCTGATGAGAAGGCTTCCCCAGGGCATCCTGGGTGCTCTTCTCAGGCAAAGGGGGAAGAAGATGAGGACAGGGCCGCCTCCTCCAGGACACCCTCCCCAGAGGGTCTGGCCCCTGCAGGTCATTCAGCCTACAGATGATGTCGGCCAGCTCAGAAAGCAGAAGCCAGGAAGATGGAACCCCAGCCTTGGGCTGTGGTCGATGCTACCCCTGCCCCTCATGCCACACGCTTTGTCGTGATTAAAGCTCAGAAAGTTCCAGATCTGTCACTCAACCCCAGAATCATTCTAAACAGTGCAGAGCTGGAGAAGCCAGCACCCAAGAAATGAAAACAGTTTCTATTCCACAAACCACCTTCTGTTCCTTTAGGCAAAGGGACTGCTTTGTTCAAAACATGGTTCCTTCAATTCCTATAATGCACAGGGTATTTATTTTGGCTTGCTTTTTTTTTTCATTATGAGATAAAGACTTAAATGGGGGGTTTAGAGTTCTAAATAGGAAAAAAAAATAACAGTTTCAAAAGGAATAACAATTGCATTCAAGGCACTATACTAAATGTAGAAATTGTGGAAAGTGGTGTAAGCACAATGAGAAGCTCTGTGCCAGGCATTACAGGCTCCTCAGAGACTTTCAGAGAAACTGCAATTAATGTAATCCTACTTGACGGCAGCCTTGAGTGGAGCAGACATTTGTCTTTAGTCTTTAAGCTTTGTTAAAAAACAAAATAACTTCATACATAAAAAGTACAAAAAGTTATAAATATTCATGCACTCAAGTATGTTTATAAATGCTAAATTTTGCCAATTTTGTGTCTGATTGATTTGGTTGATACTGGTTTTTTGTTTTTTGTTTTTTGTTTTTTTTTTGAGACAGGTTCCCTGGGTTAGTCACTTCAGCATTTTCTCTTGCTGAGACAAAATACCTGGTTTAAAGGAGGAGAGATTTTGGCTCACAGTTTTAGAGGGTTCAGTCCATGGTTGACTGGCTTGAAGCCAGAAACAGAATGGTGGAAGGGAAGGGGCAAAGGTAACTGCTCTTGTCTTGGCAGCCAAGAAACAGAGCAAGAAGGGAGGAGCTGGGAACAGGAAAACAGGCTTGCAGGACATGACCCCAAGTGTCCCCCACCTCCTTCTACCAAGCGCTACTTCCCAAAAATACATTCAGCTATGAACTCATGGATGGATTAATCCATTGAGGAGGATAGCACTCCCCTGACCCAACCACTTCCAAAAGCACCACCTCTGATGAGACGTTTGGGTACATTTTAGGTTTATACCCTAATATCTCACTATTTAATCCAAGTGGGCCCTGAAATCACTATGTAGCCCAGGTTGGTTGTGGATTTGAGATCCTTCAGCCTCAACCTCCAAGTGCTAAGATTATGGGTAAGTGCTGGTATACCTGGCTCAATTTGTAAACGAAACTTTAGTTTTGAGATAATTGTAGAGTCCTTTTTCAGCTGTGTTAAAATATTACTGAGGCACATTTAGAAACTTCAAAGTGTTCATTTGAGAAGATTATAGCTCATGAATCACAACAACAATGCAGAAGAGGTTTGGACTCCACTGAGAGGCTCAAAGAGAAAATTTCTTTTTCTTTTCTTTTCCTTCCTCTCCTCTCTCTTCTTCTTCCTCCTCCTCCTCCTCCTCCTCCTCTTCCTCCTCCTCCTTCTTCTCTCTCTCTCTCTCTCTCCCTCTCTCTGTCTCTCTCTCTCTTCAAGGTCTCACTATGTTACCCAGGTTGGATTTGAACTCACAATCCTCCTGCCTCAGCCTCCGAAATAGCTGGGATTACAGGTGTGCCCACTAGTAATTTGCAAAGGAAAACTTTTGTAAAGTGTTCATAGAAATGCCACAAAGTATTTGATGACTTGGCAGTTTCTGATTGGTTACGCGTACGTTGCATTTGTTTGTCATGTGATCACTCACACTGAACTGAAGCTCAGTTTGCTTATGAAGGAACCAAAGGCACAGGGCCTCTGTCAACCTAACAGGCTCCCAAATAATTATTTTCAAATGGTACAGGAAGTTCTGCTGAAACTTCTCCCCAGTTTCTTCCAGCGGTGACATCTTTCGAAACTGCAGTGCAAGATCAGAACCAAGATGCTGGCACTGGTTAGGGTCAAGATCCACAGTGCCACCGTGTCCCCTCCACCCCGAGACCTCGAGTTGTCCGTTTGCTGCAGCCTCATTCACATCGTCCCAGCCGTGAACTCTCCCGGGAACCTGACATCACCAGCTTTTACTCCTTTGCCATTCTCTGGTCAACTCATGAATGCGATGGGAATCGTCACTGCTGTGAGTGAGCTACACCATTAACACAGTCTGACACACTTGTCAGAATTTACTTAGTATCAGTAGACGGACAGACTGCATCAGTTTCATCAGCTTTGCTCCCCTGAGTACTCCTGATTTAATCTGGAGGTGTGACCATGGCGATTGCAAATTTCTTGTTCTGTTCCAACCATTCCAACCTTCCAGCTAAGGTTAGGAGTTTCTCACCTGTTACCAATATCTAATAATTAGCTATCTTAGCACTGGAAATATGTAACACACAACCAAAAGATAATTTTTTCCCCTGCTGGAGATTGAACCTAGCACCTTTGCACTGAGCTACATCTCCAGCCTTTTTGTTTTTATTTTGAAGCACAGTCTCACTAAATCACTAAATTGCTTAACCTTGGCTCAAACTTGCGATCCTCCTGCCTCAGCCTGCCGGAATTATACACATGCACCATGGCTAAGCAGCAGTGCTTAGAGTATAGAAATAAAAGATTAAAGAAACAGTAACATTTAAGGAGACACTGCAAAGAGCAAAGGCAAAGAGTTAACACCCATGTAAAAGAGCTGCGGTAGGTGGTCAAGTATTCAATTAACAAACCCAGTTGCATAGCTGTCAGAGTGCAGGTGTGCAGACAGCTACTCCACTTTGAAGTGGGCAGCATCAGTGCAGGGGCACCACCACTGAGCTAAGGTTAGGAGTTTCTCACCTGTGACCTGAGTATAGGTCTTGACACGATAAGATGACAGGTTGGCATCGAGAACCTCACAAGTTTCTGGGTTTATATGTCTTGGAATGTGGCGGTTGCATTATTCATTGATTGGTGTGTTTGATAAATTTATCTTTTTGATGAGTCTGATAAGCACACATCTCTAAGTCCTTGGTTTAGTTGGATAAATTCACAGGTTGTAATTTTTGTTGCTAGGAGTGAGTCATTTAAACCAGATGTGGTAGCAAATTACTCTAATCCCAGTACTCAGGAGGCTGAGGCAGGAGCATCACCACAACCAGGAGATCAGCCCTGGGCTGCATAGCGAGTTCAAGGCCAACTTGAACTACATAGTGAGACCCTGTCTCAAAACAAAACAAAAGGTTTCGGTCCAAACCATCTGTTTGTCCTGCACACTTGGTGGTGGTTTGCTTATGCGGGTAAGATGCACAGCCATTCTGCCCTAGCATCTGTACCCAAATGGAGTCCCTGGGGTTAACTGCAGCTGGCACCTTTAGGAAGCACAGAGGAGTGACTGGTGCCCCCCGCCTGGCTTTTAGTTGTTACTAATAAACATTGCTATTCTTGTTATAAACATTCATGTATGGGCTTTGGTATGAAAAGCTAAACAAGTCTTCATTTCTTTAGAAGTCTGAGGTCAGCTGGGTGTCTCAGCAGCTTAGTGAGACTTTGTCTTGAAATGCAAAATAAAAAAAAGAGCTGGCTATGTAGCTCAGTGCAAAAGCCCTGGGTTCAATCCCTAGTACTGTAGGGAAAAAAGTCAAAGATGCAAGCAAGGTACAGAGGTTAAATAATCATATGAAAATGTGCTCACATTATTAGGAAATGGAACAATTGCAGGTAAACGAGAATGAAATGACACTGTGTACAACCTGGAATGGCTACAAACAGAGCAAAGACCTCCCATGTCATGAAATGGCAAAGACGTGGAACAATTGGCACTCTCAGCCAATCACCATGGAAAACTGCCTGGCAGTTTCTTGTAAACTGTATTTAACCATGTGACCTAGTCATCCTATTTCTACAATTTTATCCAAGGGAAATGAAAATCTACCTTTACATAAACACTGGTCCACAAATGTTTATTGAAGCTTTATTTATCATTGTCAAAAACTGGACACAATCTAAATGTTTGTCAACAAACTCTATCAAGACAATTCAATATTACCTAACCAAACCAGATGTGGTGGCACACATCTGTAATCCCATAACTTGGGAGGCTGAGGGAAAAGGATCACTATGAGGTGAGGCCAGCCTAGGCTACATAGTGAGACCCTGTCTCAGAGAGATGGGAGGAGGGAGAGGGGAGAGGGAGAGGAGAAGGAGGGAGGAGAGGGGAGTGGGGAGGGAGAGGGGAAGGGGGGAGAGGGAGGGGAGAGAGAGATGTGGACATTATGTTGAATTTAAAAAGCCACTGAAAAGGTTACATTGTATATGATTCCAATTATATAGCCAATCTGGAAAAGGGCATAGTTTCAGTTTCAGAGGGGCAGTTCCCAGAGAGCAGTGGAGAAAGAAACAGGTGAAGTTTAACTCTAAGGAAGCAGCCCAAGAGATTTTGGGAATGTGTGATCAAATGTTTGTGTCTTGATTGTTGTGATTATGCAGCTGCATGCATTTGACAAAACATCATAAAAATTTATTATGTGTATCAAAAGTTACATGAATATTGTCATTTATGTTCTTTTCACAACCTCCTTATTTATTCAGTATGTTGCTTTAATTTCTAGATCCATCCTGTCTTGAAAATTAAAATAGGAAGAATGTATTCCAAATAGAAGGGCTATTACAGTGGGATTTGGGGTTAACATTTATAAATCTCTAGGGTCATCAGTGCCCTTGATTCTAAAGTGGGAAATGCCATTAAATTGCGCCAGTCCCACCTGCTCCCCCGGGGACCACATCTTTGACATGAAGGGTGACATAGGTTTCTGTCACCGGCACTGACACCAATCCTCAAAGTGAATTCATCTGTTAACATTCAGTAAAGAATGTGGGAGAGACTGGATTCTACTTTCTCGTTGTTTTTGTTCATTTCTATGAGAATCAGATTTGTCACCCTGCACTGGATAAAGAACCAGATAAAGAACCCCTACCATTAAGTAGATGGTAACACTGCTGACTTACCTCCTCTTTTCATGAAAAGGTACATTGTCTTGGATTACTTGGAGTCTCTTTGTGGCTATGAAATGTTGTATGATATTAATCAAGCCTCTGAAGCATTCTTTTATCTATTCAACTGCCTGACGT